CCATAACTTCGTTCAGAGAATCGTTTGGCAGATTTTGAATGCAGATTTGAAATCAGCATCAAAAAATACGCCTAGCAGTATAGGTCCCATTTCAAATGGCCACTTCGACTTGGGGTCCTTCCCTTGTAAGATATGGTCGGCTACCATTTCTTTTCTTTCTCCTAGCCCTCAGTACTGATAAAAGGTGATGCCTCCCCTTAACTAGATTTTACAACGCAAAGTAAGGAATGAGGCCCGCATAAATCGGGCGGCCCGACTTTTCCTAGATAAAGGCTGACAAAAACGATAACAAATGGTGAAGGTCGGTAAGCGAACTTGTTGTTACACCCTATATATAACACTCTATGGGACTGGAATGCGATACTACATATAGATGAGTGATGGGTAAATAAAAACGAAGTAAATGTAGACTAGTACAGATAGAACTAATTTTGAGACTGGAGACAGCTTGGCAGTGATGTTCAAATAAGCGTGACTTTGATGAATGCAGAGAGCCCACTAGTTCAAAAAGAATGATTTACGGCGCATTGGTGAGGCTACACGTCAGTTCGGTGAAGCAAACAGCACCTACAGTGCTTCTCCAAATGATGCAGCCACCCTAATTTCCCCAATACCTCACAGTATACGATGTTTCTGAGGAAGTACCGAAGTAAAAAATACGTCAAATCTGAATTGCCATCCACACATTATCACCAATTTCCATCTCAAGAACACAAAGATTTTTCTTCGTCAATTTTCCAGTGAAGTGTGTTTTTCAACGTCTTCAAATGATACACCCACTTCATTATTCATGTCGTGTTTTAGTTCAACCAACGAAATTGCGTTGTCTATGTAACAGTGCTTTCGAAGTTCGAGAAACGTCGAATCCCTGCGAAAAAGAAGCAGGGACTGTTGAATCGCAGAATCGCGCGAGATTGGGGCGATATCCCCAGTTGTGGACAATTTCATCAAGAATCCTGAGGCCTATGGAACCAAAGGAAGTGCTGGACGTCCTTTGATGTTATCCGACAGAGACAAGCGCCGTATTTTGAGGAGAGCGTCGAACTCCACCAGGTGCCCTCCATGACTTAAAGATATCGAGGAAATCGGGTCGCTTTCGCCAGAAAGTGCAGCTGAACCAATGGAATAAGGTGTTCTTCATGTGCTGACATTTGACCTTCCTCCTCTTGATGGTTTTTGTTCATCAGGTAGTTTTTTCCGAAAAAGTTTAATTGTGTGGTCCAGACGAAACCGATTTTATTGGCACGATCTGAGGAAGGAAAAGCTTCAATTTTCTATACGGAAGCTCGAGGGAGGAGGAGTCATGGTTTGGGCCGTGATTTCATCAAGTGGCTTATTAGGCGTATTAGTCGTATCCGTTTATGTTTTTTACCAAAGAAGATGGACTCGTCCTTTTATCGGACATGCACTTCTCCCTTCTTGGCGTCAGAATCGACACCGAAATGTTGTTCTTATGCAAGATAGTGCCCCAATTCACAGCAGAAGCACGCAAGCTTGGTTCTCTCCGAATCGGATAGCAGTTCTACCTTGGCCGGCGAATAGCCCCGATTTGAATGCGATGGAAAATGTATGGGGCTTCATGGTGCGGAAGATTTACGCTCAAAACAAGCCATTCCGGGGCGTCAAGGAGTTGAAAAAAGTGATCATCGAAGCATGGCACCAAGTTGACCAGTAGCTGATTGATGGTCTTTACTTGAGCCTAGATCACCGTACTTTCGAAGTAATTCGAAGGAACGGTGGACCAATGATTATTGACTTTGCTACTTTTTTCCAAGCTGTATGTTTCCTGTTAAATAAATAAATTTTGTTAGTGGCTGTATCATTCGGAGACGTTGGAAAAGCACTTTGTACCAAAAAATTGAAACGTTGAAAACGAAAAACGTTTGTGTCCGCGAGCGGGAAATTGGTGCTAGTGTGCGAATGGCAATTCAGATTTCTCGCATTTTTGCTTCGGCACTTTTTCAGAAACCTCTTATACTGTGAGTTTTTAGGAAAATTGGAGGTGCCTGTATCATTTGGAGACGCACTGTAAGCAAAAAAAAAAAATAGTGGCCTCTGTGATATATAAACAAAATCTGATGGGCATAGTGCCACTCTATGGTACGAAGTGTGGAATTCGATGTTCAAGGAAGCAACGATGAAGGACCCTAACGGAGTATCAAAATGACCTGTTTAAAACCAAAATGACATTAGAAAATACCGTCGATGGAAGGAAGTGCTCGAAATTGACAGGAACATTGAACCCTACCCACTAGATTGAAGGATTTATGACGGGATTATGACGGGATGGTGTGTGATTGGTTGCTTTAATAGTCCGCAGGCCGGAGACGGTGCTATCTACTTCACATTCAGTTTGTAAACAAGTGGATAGCGCTGTCTCTGGATGGCGGCCGAACGGCCGGCGGACTATGAAAGCAGCCATTGACCAGATGGCCACAAATCAGCCCTTTCTGCATGAGGTAGTCGAACCGCTAAGGCATACAGGTGATTGGTGAGGTATTTAACACTGTGATATGAATGAATATTAGTCAAACACACTTCTACGCTGAACTATCTTCAGACACCCGTAACCCTCAATTTCTTAATCCTTATAGATCATCGGGGATAAAGCTGTCTTATGCCCTCTTCGCTAAATAAGAATCTGATACTTGTTGTATGCGACAACGGACTTTCTACATCGACATGAGTCCTTACGAATGAATGCCAAATACCACTTTTCCAGCAAATTTTAAACTTTACTGGCTGCATAGTTATGGCAAATCTCGACAAGCTGAAGAAAATTCCACTAAGTTCAATAATGAGTTTGACGGGGAACACTGATTTCTGTGGTAAGGAATGCCTCGAAGCTTAAATTGTTCTTGACAACGTGATTTTTCTTGCATACAGAGTATAAATATAGTCTCATGGTATATGGAAATAGCAATCTCGAGAAGATAGACTTCAGGAAAAGTATGGTCATAAAACAAGAGGTTGAAGTTTTATGTCTTTTTTGCAGCGTTAGCTCGTTGAAAGTGGTACTGCTGCATATTTCAACTACAGTCCACAGTAAACGTTGCAGTTTATTCCGTACACATTGCAAACGATTGCGCAGGCTTCTAACCATATTTGGTCAAATTCCATATCCACTCGATTTCGGGACGGTAGCATGGAATCTCTGTGATTGGCGAAAGATTGGGGTGATTGTTCGCACGCATATGTAACAGGCCGCAACACTGGCCGCGACAGTGTCAATGTCGTTTACTACTGAGCCGGCACAATCTTATTCGTAACTTTTAGGATCAATTTGGTATTTTTGAATCTCACTAAGTGAAACTTGCAACGGATTTCGTTGTGAGCGTCGCATCCACCCTCGTAAAATTCTTAATGTGTGATGTGATCATTGGATCAGCTCGTATAACTGCAGATGAAGATTTTTTATCTAAGCCGTGAGCCCTGCTTTTTGTTCCGGTTTACTCCTCGTGAAGCTCATCTTGCCTTATGAGCAAGGAGCGTTGAACATAACTTCGCCGACTCTGAAGATCTCCATCTCAGTAGCCATGGCAAGGACTATCGCGACTGAATGAGTTCGCTAGTATCTTGCCTCAATATCGCTGCATTGCGTCAACTTTTGTAAACGTTAATCTTTATTCCCATCACTGCGCCTAGCCAAAACTCAAACATCCTTGCTGTATTTTTGAACATGGAATGTGTAGGGTTCGCTTAGTCTGTTTTAGATAACACACTATGAGACTCACGAAACTGGTCGAATTAAGAAGTGGTTACCCGGTTTGAGGCATCTCTTACCATTGGGCTAACGAATGTAGGAAAATACCTCTCAATAGGAATTCATAATTTGTAAAAGGAGAAGGACCAGCGGAGACGGGATGTTGTTTCAGGAGGTTTTTATCAGAGCTAATGAGAAGCTGCGTCGCGATCAAGTCTTCAATGCCCCATTTGCAGTGGACATTGGTAGTCCGTACGGTTAGCCAAACTACTATTTCCTCAAAATTAATTTTCTTATTCGACGCAACGCGGCACCACTCATTTTCAACTGACATGGTCGCTGACCGCACCTCTAATCGAGCGCTTCTTCATCAGAAACACACAGTTTCCCTTTAACTCCGTCCCAGAGATGAGGATCGTCAGCGCCTTGTTCCTACTTTATCGTTCGGACTATATCAGCACAGTCATCTAATGACCACAAGTTAATCGTTCGACTTCCATCGAATATGTTAGTTTTTTGGGGAGTTATCTCAACTGAACTCGCTTCTGGGGACTACTTTTTTTACTTCGATGTGGGTACCAGTATACCATGTTCCCAGTCGAAGCACACTTATTCTCGGCTGCTAGAAAGTCTCTATCATGGCCACTTCGTTCATCTTACTTTTACTCGAGAGTTTCTAGACTGTACAATGGAAATGGCTATGAAACGCAACGACTGTAAAGCACTAGTTGGTGATTTGGCCTATAAAGGTAAAGAAGGTGAAAAGAAACATGTATGGATGCAGATAGAAAAGGTTTATGGGACCATAACTATAGACGACATATCGGATTCAGACTTGGATACGCTCATAAAACTTACCGTTGATGGATGGCAACGTGAGAACTTTATTCGTTAGATTTCGCAGACAATTAGCATACAGAAGATCATGGTTTTTCATTTCAGCTCGGATAGTAAGGATAGTAAACAACTACA